TAATAGAGTGTATCGCGCACATCCCTATTTGTTCTCCTGGTGTGCAGTCGTGGATCTTTGGGCAGCAAACATGCGGGCGGCGCGGCAGAGACGTCGCCAGCCGACCCTCAAGCTTCCAGAAAAAGTCAATCCTTCAGTCGATATAGACAAGAGTTTTTTGTGTTTACCTCAATTACTTATCTTTAAGTTCATTGTCAATTGTTTACACATAATGAAACTATACCTTAAATTGTGATAGTTTTAATTCGTTATAAATGCTAATATAAAAAAAAAAACATAATTTTAAAACAGGTGATATGGTATATGTCGAAAATGGTCACAAACTAAATAGGAAAAAATTCGAAGAGTTAAGGATTGGTCCATTTAAAATAGAACAAAAACTGTCTCAATCAATATACCTACGAGATCAATATAGAAAATAAAAAGAAGGAGTCAAATCTATTTCATATTACAAAACTTATTCTTGCTTTGATACCAGAAGAGATCAAAGATTAGAAAGAAGGAAAAGAAATTGAATGGAACAAAAAATCATTTAAAGCCCTAGAGGGGAGATGAAAAGAAAAACCTTTAGTATTTAAAACCTTTAAACTCTGTAGTTTTAAAAAAAATCCATAGACGGATTAATTGACCTGTCTATGATTCAGTGAAGATAGTTCAGCTTTGCATAATTTAACAATACGATTTAAAATAATAATTTAAAAAGGAGATTAAAGGTTTTAAATGTTGTTTTCTTAATATATTACAGAAAACGTAATTAAGTCTTTTTATGTTCAATCATTCTAGAATATTCCATATCATTATATATATTATNAGGTCGCAAAACCTGGTCATGGCCTCCCAAGAATTCTGGTCCTCTAGCATGCGGGCGATGACAGCCCGCAAGGAGAGGTCTCTCCCCAGCACCGCGATGAGGTCTCGCCGCGAGCGCTCCCAACGCGGGCACGCTTCGAGTGCGTGCTGAGCGTCATCGTCCGGATGCCCACACTGGTGGCAACCCGGATGTGGCTCTCTCCTGCAGACCTTCCACTCAATCAATATACCTACGAGATCAATGTAGAAAATAAAAAGAAGGAGTCAAATCTATTTCATATTACAAAACTTATTCTTGCTTTGATACCAGAAGAGATTAAAGATTAGAAAGAAGGAAAAGAAATTGAATGGAACAAAAAATCATTTAAAGCCCTAGAGGGGAGATGAAAAGAAAAACCTTTAGTATTTAAAACCTTTAAACTGTAGTTTTAAAAAAAAGATTAGACGGATTAATTGACCTGTCTATGATTCAGTGAAGATAGTTCAGCTTTGCATAATTTAACAATACGATTTAAAATAATAATTTAAAAAGGAGATTAAAGGTTTGAAATGTTGTTTTCTTAATATATTACAGAAAACGTAATTAAGTCTTTTTATGTTCAATCATTCTAGAATATTCCATATCATTATATATATTATTCGTGTATTTGTATTAAACAGTACACTAGTGCAGCAAGCGTTTTTGGTATTATTTTGTATCCTATATTTTATGTTTAATAATCATATCTTAATCATACTGAAAATCATACATAACTTTTAGTAGGCTTCAGTTATTCAGTCATAATAAATTAAACAATATGTTAAGTATTCCATAAATTATTATATTTATCTATACTAATGTTATAAACAGGAAAGATTTGATTGTTTGTTTGTTTGCATTGAATAGGCTCCGAAACTACGGAACCGATTTGAAAAATTCGTTCACTGTTGGGAAGCTACACTATCCTCGAGTGACATAGGTTATAATGTATTTTCAAAAATATTAGGGACTTAATGAAACCCAATGTGTAAAAAAATTACCTAAAATATTATTCAGATCGAGTGGGCTGCGAAAATTATTAGTAAAATAATATATATAATGAATATAATAATATAGTTTATACATACGACATTCACACATCATTATTTACAAAAATATTCCGGTCAGCATATGTCTGTTTAAGTTATGTCACAATAAGTGTTCTAATCTTTAAAAATAAAATAAAACAATGTCTAATATCGTTTACAGGGAAGTAACTGATTCAATTAATTTGATGGCTTTTCTTTTGTATGTGCGATATTTTTAAGGAAAAAAAGTGTGTGTGTCCGCTCCGACGCACGACTGGAGTTTACTGGATATAAATATAAATTTGTGTCACTTGAATACAGTAAAATATGGAAGTTACGTATTCTAGTGAGAATGATCCGGGAGTTGCGGAACACGTGGATGCGGTAATTAAGTAAGTCTATATAATTCACTTTTACAATTAATATATAAGTTGTCCATTCACTGATAGAAGGAATTGTTTATATTTAATAAGCTTTATTAATAAATGATTTGTAGCGGGTTATATTCGGGTATCAACCCACTAACAGTTGATACGTTCAGGAATCGAACCCGAACGGCGTCCGGCCACAAGCAAAACGATGTCGGTAAATTAAACGAAACAATACGAGAAATAGTTCTATATTACGACAACACGATACACTACAGATTATTAACAAATTAACGAGACACAAAACAAACGACTAACAAATATATGAAAATACAATAATGAGAGAAACGCGCGATCAGTACGAGGCTTTGTGGCGG